TATCTCTGATCGTGTCCATTGTGCAACTCAGGGGTGAGAAGTACGCCGCATCGATCAAGCAAGATGTGGATGAGAGACAATTAGCTCTTGAGGCACCGGGTATGGACAGTTCTTCATTGACATAACTACTGTAAGTACTAGTGTACTATGTTTTGTTGATGATTAGTCCATATCGATATCCGCATTGTTGGTTACATACGGTACAAGTCTTGCGGACCAGGATGCTCGTAAGCAGCTGCAGACCGCCTTGGACGAATCGAAGGCACTATATAGTTGCTTTAACTTTGGATTTTGTCACAAAATGTTGTGCACACGAACATCCAGGTCAACAATGACTTGATCGTGGCATGTGACGAAACCCGTGCTGTGCTTGAGAAGGCATGTGATCCGCTTAAGCAGGCCAAGAAGGCCAAAAAGGCCAAGTCTGCTTAGATCAAAAGCACACACTTGACACTGCTGAAATGTGTGATAAGATATCATTTTGCCATCGTGTGATAATTCGTTACGTTTTGTGTTTAGCTTAGTATGTGGCGCAGTGCATGATGTGTTTGATCGACGGCCCATGATTGTTGGGGCGTGTTTGCCATGTATATGGGTAGCCAAAACGGCTATGGGGACACATGGAGTCCACGCCAGACTTCTAGATTGGTCGTGTTTTGCTTTGTGTCTACCTCCAGCTGGCCAGTCAGAACAGGTTGTACTTGAGAATGGCTAGCGGCTAGCTAGTCGTGTGAACGATGTGTTGCTCGGAAAGTATCATATGCGGATGTGCTGGGGGGAAGGCTGAAATTTCATTCAACGGTGAAGGAAATTGGCATATTGTGAATGTGCTGAGACAAACAAGTGTGTGCCAATTAATTGCTACAAGTGACAAATGGATGGTGTTGTCACGGCATGGAACAATAAAACATAAAGATAATGTGCACGAATCAAGTTTGAGGGGTTCATTGATTTTTGAGAAGGTGCTTTGGGAGATGATGCGGGACCTTTAGAAAATTCGTGTGTGGAAAAGCTTGCTTCGTCTGCCACTAGACTCGAAAGTTAGTTCTATTCTTGATCACAATATTCAATCGGTTTAACTAGCTGGCGGCTGTATTAAATCGGTGTGTCAACGAGGAATCATCGGCTCGTGGAGTCATGAAGGATGTCAAGGCAGCTTACGAGGACATGTTTTTGCCTATTGTTTTCTCATGGATGGCTTGACACCAAGTGAATGTACTATAGATCGATCACGGACTGTTTTGTGTGCAGGAATCACGTGGAGCAACTAGCGATTGGACTGCCAAACTTGCCATGTACAGAGGTGGCAAGAACGAAGCACGAGACTTCGAGAGGCACCTGAAACTTCCGGTGGATCTTCGGAAGAAACCATTACTATCTTTTATTTGATCTATATTTGGTGATCATTTAGGATTGGCTATTCAATTTGTATTCTTAAACATGATTGACTCTAGGAACCGGTCTATGTGGAGGTGGAGCTGAAGGTTCACGGGGACAAGACCGAAAGGGGAGTGCTACCTTGTTTGCTACCAGAGGACATCTTGACATATTTGTTGAGGCATTGTCAACTGACCATTCCAGAAGAAGAATGCAAAACATATTGGAATCACCTGGAGGCTCACAACGATGAGCAAGCCCGGTTGAGCCAGGCTTATCGAAATCTTCAGGATCGGCAGGTGTGGCCATTGGGTTTACATGGAGACGAGGCCTCAATGCAGCTGGTCGTTAATCCATATGACAAAATCATTGGAGTGACGATGAACTTACCATTGTGGCGACCAAAGACAATTCGTGCATCCAGATGGCTTTTATTTTGTATAGAATCACCAAGACTTGCGAGCGCCCAAACTACATTGTTTCCGCTTCTCCAACGAATTGTTGAATCTCTCAACAAATGCACGGAAGAAGGAATACTTGGGCGGACTTTTATTGTGAGCGAACTTCGTGGAGATCAGGCATGGTTCAAGCATTACCTTTTCCATCACGTCAGCTGGTGGAAAGCAACGCACATTTGCTGTAGATGTGAGGCAACCACTGCCAGTTGCTCACACATCTTCACGAGCTACGATGGCTGGATCCCAACGAGAAAAGGCACCCAGCACTTTTTTGGAAAAGGAGCTGCCTCTTCCAATGAGCTGCTTGGGCTTGAAGTTGTTGGTTTTGGGTGAATCGGTAGGTTTAGCATTCGTATTTTTTGGTGTGCTCAATGCATGTTGTGCTTTGTTGATAGTTTGTTTCTGTCCAATCTGAGGTGAAGAATGGAGGGACGGGAAATGAATCAAATGATTATATGGTTAAAAAACAAAAAAGACATTAATAACATTTGTTTGATCCTTCAAAACGAGGTCCATTGACGGACTTGCATTTCTTCACACTCGGCATTCTGAAGCATTGCACGCTTCACGTATTGAATTTGGGTCTGCTGCATATTTCCAATGGATCCACTATGTACTTTGAGTTGATTTCTTCAGTTTTTTGTTGTTGTTTTGTGTTTTTTCATTTATGCATGTGATAATTATTTTTAGTCTGTCTGCACCTACCACAAAAAATAACTATGGCAATATGTTGGAAACATAGTTATATCATTTAAAACAAACACTGACAAAATCTGGGCTATATTATTTGGTTGGCAACCCGTAGCCGTAACTTTACGTTATTGTTGATAAAAACAAAAAAACACTCAGGGCTATGTTGCTGCATATGCACTTCTGGGGGGCCCGTTGACCGTGGTGGCATGGATCCCAACCCCAACGGGTACAAAGATGCCTTGGAAGCTGCCAACCAGGACTTTAACATTTGGCGACGCTCTCACAAACTGAATGTCAGCCAACGTCGCTTCACCTTCTGGAATATATTTAAAGAAGAGTATGGCTGCTACCTGAATTCCAAAGGTTTTGCTGCCAGAGTTATTTCATCGTGGCTCGAGGATGCCTTACGCCGCTCCCAGAACCAACCCCCCCCCAGGGTATGATTCCAGATGCCAGAGCATATCTTGCCCTGACAGCTTTGACACTTGTATCGATTACTATCGATTACTATTTTTGTCCTGTTTGTCGTGTTTCTATGGTGTATGTGTTGTATGATGTGTTCATTTCCAGTTCATTTCCAGCATAGGAGTGGTATTAACCGCTATTTTGCCTTGTCTGAGAGAGCTTTGAGGACGTTGCCACTCAGCGATTTGAGTTGGATTTTGGGATTATGGTTTGGTTGTGGGATTCTGAATTACAGGAACACGGGCTAGATAATTAATGCGTTGTCTTTTCCGGGAAAGGTTTTAAATTTATCCCTGATCTTCCAAACAATTAACTTTCTTTATCCCTGATCTTCCAAATAATTAACTTTCAAGGATAAGCATATTGGAACCTGATCGATTTGATCTATATTGGACACCGAATTGAGGACCCCTCAACAGAGCTTGGATATGGAACGCGCTGGTCGTACGTACTTGGAGGCGTATGTGATGCTCAACCACCAGAGTGCCAGGACAACTAACGAGCTTTCTGAGCTTTTTTTTTATGGTTGTATATGTTTACCGCAGGATTCCCGAACTGGCGTGGGTACTAACGCCAAAATTCCATGTGCTCTGAAAGCATTGAGTTTTGAATCGTTGAGCTTCTGTGCCAACCCTTTCTAGCCGACACGACTATTGTGAAAAAATTAGGCATTCAGTCATATCTTGGTGGACGACGTGAAGGAATTCCGTTTCTAACTTGCAAATATCACTCGGGAGTGACCTGTGGATTTTGAAAATGACCTCTTTAATCTTCAATTATGCAGCTCCGCATCTCAGGATTGAATCCAAGATATGTGCATACGTTTGCCGATGAAGATTACATGAGTGTGCTCAAACACTGGAGCAAACGGAAGGGGCGGCAACGCAAACGTGGGGGGCCGTCCGGTTTCCGTTTTGAAATTAGCACGCATGCGACTGCTCAGCATGCGATGGCGGATTCCAGAGTTGAATCGTTGCCGATTGTTCAAACGATGATCACGATTTATCGTGATATGAAAGGAATTGAAAATTCCCAGTATGCGTGATCATGCGTGAATGCGCGTGAAATGGCGTGATCCCGAAACGACGTAGTTTAACTTAGCATTTGACCTAATGCCAAGTTTAACTTAGCGTTTGGAAGATCAGGGTATATATATATATATACCAGGACCATCCAAGGGATGTCCAATGGACTACCCCACACTACCTATAGGCTTCCAGACAGGGCACCCCGACAGGATGGTCCAGGTTTTTTTGGTGTTTGGGCTTTTTTCATCCCCAAGAGACACCTCACCATCCATCCCACCCCTTCTCGGCTTCCTCGAGGCGGCAGTTCCAGCAGTTCCGCGCGGCCTCGAGAGGAGCGGCGCCGTCCGAGCCGGCACCGAAGGGCTACGGTCGACCGGAGGAGATGGCACCGAAGGAGCTACAGCAACAGACCAATTCGTTTGTGATGCAGCTTTGCGCTGCGTGCGCGAAAGTCTTCTTTTGAAGAATGCACCTCACCACCTACGGGCAGGTTTGTGCATGCAACTGTGTGTGTGTGACCTTTGGCTATTGCTTTGACCAATTCGGTGACGGGAGTGATGTTTGCCTAGCAGCCTTCAGTGGATCCATCCTGGATGGCGCAAAGATATGGCCGCCTGCATGACTGGTGGTGAAATGAGTGAATGCAGGTTATATTTAGGCCACCATGGATGGTTTTGGGAATCATATAACCCAGGGCTCCTGTCCCACATCTGAAAAGAAGGTAGGGAATAACCCCCCCTGGCACCCACCCCAACCACAGAACCTTTTCGGATGTAGGACTGAAACCCTATAGGCATCTATAGGCGTCTATAGGCTATAGGGATAGAAGAGAAAATTCTCGTCATAGATGTGTGATAAGTTTGACACTTTCTAAGTAGGGCACTCTTAATCCAAAGTGTTATTGAAGGGTTCAGGAGTTACCATGTTCGTTCCATTTGTCTACACTGTGGGTCACGGACACTGGGTCTGAACACTTCTTTACTCACAACATCTCACGACCACATGAGGCTTTCCTCAAGACCACCCAGGGCTTTGACTTCTGGTTTCCTCAAGACACTGGGTCTTTACTTCTTCCCCGGGAGTCAAAGACTATAAACAGAATAGTCTTTAAGGGAACTGAAAGGACACTTCCTTTACTCCAGCCGCCAGCCGGTCAAAATATCGTCTTTGGACTTCTAGGGTCTTTGCTTTCTTGTTTTACCGCATGGTGCGCACACCACCGTGCGGGGCCGATGGTGATCGCCCTGTGAGCTCGATCGGTCCCACATCCGAACAGCTTCGGTGGTTGGGGATGGTCGGGGTAGGTGCCAGCGGGTGTCATCGTGATGGTCGTACCTTCTTCAAACGGATGTGGGACAGGAACCCATCCGGGAGTCTAGGAGTCCTCCTTGGGCGTGGTGGAAGATGAGGCCTGGCTTCAGAAGCGGCGCTGCTTACGTGCCTCGGGCGAGTCATTCTGCGGGATTGGGGGTCAACCGGAAGGATGGTATCAACAGTATCAACAGACTGGTATTGATGTACTGAAAGGTGATTCCCGATATCCCACATCCTCATACGATACTCATAAGCCGAAGTGTTTGACATTGTGGACATGCCAGGGTGTGAACGGAACGGGTGAAGCATGATTGGAGCCATAGGACCCCACAGCTTAAGGTCAGTTTCTCAATGTGACATCCCATGTGAAGAAGCCCTAATCACTAGACGTGGATGACGAAACACACCACGCTTTCAGCTATGTTTGATCCAACTATATATCCTCCATGGTCCTTTTTCGTTTTGGGATATGTCCGCCTGTTATTTGTCAGGTTTGTGCCCTTCCCCTGGCCCGCGGCGCTTTGGCGCTTCCTTTTGCACCCACCTGGCCCGAGTGACCCAAATCGACCCTCTGGCTTGGAGCGATGGCCTCCTCTCCGAGGTGAAGGGGCGGAAGTCCATCGCCAAGTCCGGCAATTTGTGCAGCAGAAGGCAGGTCACGATCCGTGCACGGGGAGACAGGTGTTTTTCCACCAGGTCAGGTCCTTCTCTGTGGCCGGTATGAGGAAAGAATGGATAGAGTGGTAGGGTGGCTTAATCAGGTTGGTGAAAGGCTCAGAGCCAAGAAAGGCTCAAGCAGGTTGGTTTACTCAGGTGCCAAGATAGAAATAGCAGCCGGTTGACCATGTCTTTGAAGAAAAAGCACCCTTGGAAATCCTCGGTTTGGTTCTGCAAGTTCGTTTGTATTGATGTCTTAACAAAGGCACAACATGGTACAAATTAAGATCAACACTTGACTTGCAAGGGAGTGGTTAATCTACCAGATCCTTATGTCTTAAGAATCAGGATCCTAGATAATGATGGAAACTCCTTAACTAAGTATTCACAGGACTCATGATGGCTGATGATGCATTCAGTCAGCCGAACACATTTGTCAACTTGCGACGACCCGATGTCGCCGTCGTTTAGTTTCTTATCCCATGAAACATTACAATCAGCAGCATCAAACCTGTGGATCCTAATATTTATGTTTGAAGCCAACTTGTGGTCATTTAACCAAGGGACTGTGTGTACTGTATGTGTGCTCAGACAAAATACAGACGCATGCCAGCAACACCCATTTTGGGTGGTTATTGGAGATCTATAGGGTGGTGCTGGTGTGAACCTAGACCTTCCAAGTACCTAAGAAAATGGGTACAAGTACAAGTTTTTACTTCTCGGGTCATGTTCCGTTTTCTAAGGTGCTGTGGAGGCTCCAGGTACTGTCGAGTTCCTTGAAATACAACTGTAAATCCAAATCGAGCCAGTTGATGCAAGACGAGGTCAGTAAAGCTTGATCACAGCGAAACGACAAAGTTTACTTGGTTACAGTAAACTTAGTCAGGAGTAATGTCACAATATGTCTAAAAATATATATATATGTACATATATATATATATATATAATATATATACCCTAGTCTTCAAATGCCAAGTTTAACTTAGCACTACGCAAATGCTATGTTTAACCATACTTGAGGTCAGTTCACTCGTGATTACGCGTGATCGCTCGTGTCACCTTTGTCACATATGTGTGGCTCAAAGTGCACATGTTTTCAGGACTTGGATTCGGTAACTATCAAACTTTAGGTTAGAAGACTGTAAGATCTTCAAATAATTCACTTGTTTTCTTGGGAATGCTATTGTTCCACACGTACTCTCTTCAGCGAATCCGATGCTGATGTCGCTGGATATGATGGATCTATGAGGAAAGCTCTTGACAAGAGCCAGGATCCCGGCTTGACAGAGGCCTAAAATAGGGGGATCGAGAGTTTGTTTTTGGCATCCGCCATCCCAGGGAAAGCTATTCTGAGAGAAGGAGATCCCAGAGGTGCATGTGTTGTCTACCGATATTTCATGCACGTTGAGTTTTTTTCCTTGTTCACATTCAGAACTATTGTGTCTTTTCTCGCAGCCTAGCTTTATCCGGGCCCCACACGTAGCGGTCATCTTTGCTACCATGCCCGCCATGATACCGAACGAACGGCGCATGCAACTCTTGGAAGTTGGGGGCTCGTAGATTTTTTGAACGCATCACACACACACATTCATTGCCACATATTCGACACACGAGGTCTTTTATGATGAGATCATGGTGGGCAGTCATCGTGAGGATAGACTGTGGGAGTTAGCCAAGAAGGAGGGGATGTCTAAGAGCAAGTTCGACCGTCTTCTGGAAGATGGTAAGGTCTCCCCGGATAAGTTGAGCCATTTGCTCATGAAACAAATACCCTCACTACCACTTGCCACATGGCAGGTTCCGGTCACCTTCAGCTTTCTGGATGTGCACGCAAAGAAGGGATTGAATGAAGATATGGAATCGCTGACGTGCTTTCTGTCATTAATCGTTTAATTCTGATGTTCAATGCATTTTTTTGGCCAGATGGAGACTCCACAAAATGTTTGGTTCATGAAGCACTATCTTCCCTCGTTTGCCCTTGACCCTCCGACGGAGAAAGAAATCAAGGACTGAACTTATTTTGTACTTTCTGACTGACAAAACCCTAATCGAACGGCCATATTAAATGTTGATTTTTCAGGATGTCTTGGTGAAAGTTGCCATCAAACATCGCCTACATGCGGATGATTCCGCGACACCAGCTTTACAGGAGTCGGACTTGTTGTGAGGACAACCTTGTCATAAATGTTTTTTCTTCAGGATTGGGCACTTCTGGAGGGCAACCTACATCGTCTCCTCGCTGCGAAGCTTCTAGCTAGCCATAGCAGAACAAAAAACGCAAGGCATCGGTGAACACAAAGCATTAGAGTCACATTTGTCCAAATATATTTTTAAAACAATTGTATTGTGTCAGGAGAAAAGATAGTCCAAAAGCGGAAATCAAACAGCTCATCAGTATGATTTTCGAGGACCTTATGGAAAACCTGCACTCCCACATGATCACACCATTGCACCATACCCGCAGGAGGCCGGCGTTTCGAAGCGAACAAAGTCCATCAGAAAGCCAGCTTTGAAGGCTGGCGTTTTAGCTACAGGGCCAAACCACATGTTTGATTCTGTTTGATCATCGGAACCTTTTTCTTCTTCGGACCGTTCGGACCAGGATCAGAAGGCTGCAGAAAAGAAAGACAAAGCAGCTTCAATGGAGGATTCTCAAGTTGACCCACCTGAGGAAGACGACAGTGAATCTGTTCTTCTGATCGAGGAAGAGGAGGAGGAAGAGACGGATTTTGAAGATGACAAGGAGCTGGCAGAGCATGAAGAACAAAAGCAAAGTGATGCAGAGAAGAAGGCAGCCGAACAGGAAAAAGAAAGACAGATCGAAGAACCGGACGCGGTTGTTGAGGCTCCCGTTGCTGGATTTGTTCACGTTCAACGCTTCAAGTTTGGCTGGGAATCGGAACTGTTTACCAACTTAGTGGCAGATTACTCTTGGGGTGACCTTGTGGCGGATGTTGGTGGTGATCTGATGTTCTTTGCTTCTGACGGACTTCTGATTGGAAACCCATTACCTCATCAATTTCCGATCAAAATTTGGCTCCGAAGAGACTTTTTGGCTTTGCAGGAAAAAGAGCAAAGGATTGAGGAACCGAAGAAGACAGTAGAGGTGGCAGAGCGGGAAACACAAGGACAAATAGAGAAAGATAAGAATGCAGCAGAAGACGAGCAAACGCAGATGGAGGCAGCAGAGGAGGAAAAGCAAGAAGAAACAAAGGAGGATAAGCAAGAAGAAACAAAGGAGGA